TAATAATAATAATAATAATAATAATAATAATAATATTAATATTATTAATAATGATAGTAGTGAGTTCACACATCCATCGCATACATTACGGCAGCAGTTCCGTTATATTGTGCGGAAACGCAGTTCTTCTCCCTCATATGCGCTGCGGCTCTTACGGCAGTGTGAGAAACAACAACAATTCGCAGAGGCGATTAATACATTGCCGTACGTTGCAACACCAGAGATTCTCTGTGTGGAATTAACATACACTGACAATAATAATAATAATAATAATAATAATAATATCAATAGTGATAATAGTGCAGAGGAAGAGAAAAGGGAAGAAACAGTAAGAGAAAGAAGATGTTCTTCTCATGAATTGCTTATTAACGAAGGGGCGTCTGTATTTAAAGCTATCATCCATCCAAGAGGAAATGAACCACAACAAGAAGAAGGAAAAAACAAAAACTATAATAATAATAATAATAATAACGATATAGAAGAAGAAGAGCCGAGTCCATTTTTACTAGATATTCAACGTAAACAAAAAGAAGACCTTCATTCTTCCTTCCTCACATCTGTTTCCTTTGATATGTTGTACACTCCCCACACCGGAGCTCTGCAATTCCTGCAATGTGCATCTCTTCCACAACTCGAAGGATTTGCCGCAACGCTGCTGGACATTCTACGGCAGTATCTCGCCCGTAGTTCTCTACGCCCCGTTCCCTTTTCTCTCTTTGCGGGTAAACTGCGGGAAGTGCGGCGGAATATCATGCGGTTGCCGGCAGATGTGTTGATGAAGACAGAGAAGGAACTCATCGTGGCGGGAATTGTGCCGCATGTGGAGAGCATCATGCGAGAATATGCAGAACAAGAACAACAACAACAACAATCATCATCATCATTATTATTATCAACAACAACGACAGCAAAGAGAAGAATGAGAAGAGTGGGGATAAATGGACATTGTAGTAGTGATAATGATAATAATAATAATAATAGTAATAATAGTAATAATAATAATAGTTGTGGTTGTGGTTGTATAAGAGGTGTTGAAGAGTGTAAAAGGAATGGTATAGATATTACCCCGAAAAGGAGAAGTCTCACCATAGTAGAGGAGAATAAGAAGAAGGAGGAGAATATGATGATGACACCGGGTAATAATAATAATAATAATAATAATAATAATAATAATAATGAGTGGTATGTGTATATTCCGGTTGGATGCTGTCATGGCGATCTCACTCTCTCTAATATTCTCTTCACTACACCAAAAGATCGAGAATTGTGGAGTTCCTCATCTCCCTCCACACCGGCGGCAGGCCCTATGGGAAATCATCTCATTGCTCTTATTGACTTTCTTGATTCCTTTGTGGAGTCCGTGTTGGTCGATCTCGCCAAGTTGTATCAAGACTTGGGATATGGATGGACACTCTTATTAACCGCCTATGAGTCCTGTGAAGCTAATGGCATCCATGCCTATCAATCTAATAGTGATAATAATAATAATAATAATAATAATAGTAATAATAATAATAATAATAATAATAATAATAATAATAATAATAATAATAATAATAGTAATAAGGGTGAGAATGGGTCTAATGATGCGGAGCACATAGCTGCAGCGCTGCGGGAGGCGGGTATAGATGTCACTTGTGTACAAACGGCCTCACGGTTGGTCTGGGAAATAGTGGAGGACGCATTCAAAACGAAAAGAGATCATAATAATAATAATCATAATAGTGTGGAAACAGTAGTAGTAGCAGTAGTGGATAAAGAAAAAGGAGAAACGACTTCTCTGCGAGAGCGGTGGTTTGAGCATTTCTTTTTCCCGGTATTTGTGTTAAATCAGCTTCGAGTACTGCAGTATTGTAAACATCGTCATGTTGCGCAGTACCTATTACGTACCATTACGGCAGAATATGAAAAGAGAGGATATCAACTCCCTGGAGTGAATATTTAATTTTGTATTATTATACTATATTAATAATAATAATAATAATAATAATGTGGAATAAAGGGAAAGAGGGGAATTGTCATTTACAGAAACATAATTGCTGTTTTATTATTTATTTACTTTACTTGTTTTGCTTTTTTTTTGCTGTTTGGTTTTCTTGCAATCCTTCACAAGGAACAGTGTTCCCTCCTGGTTTATTACCCACAGATTCGTATATATACACACATGTTAATGTAAATGGATTTGTTTAATTTTCAATACTTATACGTTCATGTGTAGTTCCTTTGCTGTTATTATTGTTTTTTGTTTTTTAAACTTTTGCTGATTTCTCTCTCTCTCTCTCTCTCTCTCTATATATATATATATATATATATATATATTCCCTTTCCGTGATATATCCCCTTTATTACTACTTTCTCTTCTGTTAACCATTCATTCATTCATTCATTCATTTATTCCCAGAATAGCCACACGAAGAGAAGAGAAGAAACGAGAAGATATCATCAACAACAACTAATAATAATATCAATAATATCAATGCCTGTACCAGACAACAGAGAAGATCATTCCATTCAACGATGTGTACAACTTCTCTTTCCCATGGGAGGTCTCGGCTCACGCTTTGCAGACAGCGGCTACGGGCTGCCAAAACCACTCATTCCACTGCAAGAGGGTTTACCAATGATAGTGAAGAGTATTAGCAGTTTCGCAGCCACTTACATGAATGCTAATCATGATGGACAATCTACAGATGAGAATGGAGAGGAATCTCTTGATGAATATACTATTCCTACTGGGTCGTTACCGTTGCGTCTTATCTTTATTGTGCGAGAAGAGCATGAGCGGGAGTACAAACTACGCACATATTTGCAACAACTCTTTTCTAGCTGTAAGACTGGAATACATAACAGTTATAATAATAATGATAATAATAATAATAATGTGTGCCTCTCACCCACCGCGAGAGAACTAGTACATCACATGGATATTGTAGATGTGCAATTTGTGATGATGGACCACAACACACGCGGAGCTGTAGAGACGTGTTTACTCGCTAAACATATATTGTATGCTGATAATCCTGTAATCGTAACTGATTGCGATCTCTTCTTCCGCTCCCATGCCTATGAAAGATATCTTTGTAAACTATTATCCCAGTCCGCTCGTGTCTGTGAAGGTCAATCCACGGATATAGATAAGGATAAGAATTATTTGGCTGGATTGCTGGTGTATTTTCCCTCCACATCGCCTCGATATAGTTATGCCCGATTAAAGGAGAATGGCAGTGGTGATGTGTTGGAGACTGTAGAGAAGGTGCCGGTGAGTTCATGTGCGTTAATTGGGGCGTATGCATTTGCGACGGCGGCATTATTTCTGCGGGCAGGCGAATCCCTCATGCGAGATGTCACGATTGCAGAAACTGGAATCTCAACAACCACAACAACAAGAATGATTTCTTTACGAGAGGCTCTAATGAGAAGGAAAGAGGAAAAAGAAGATGTACAGAAAGGGGAGTTTTCTTTTCTAGTGAAGGAGTATTATCTCAGTCTTTTATATAATTATCTGCTGCATTGGGGATTCTGTGTAAAGGCGGTGCCAATGGATGAGTTTGCCTCTTTTGGTACACCAGAGGAACTCGAACGGTATAAACAGGGACTTGTCTCATATGTGGAGTCTTGATTATATATATATATATATATATTATTACTATGATTATTATTAACAGGAAGGAAGTGAGTGGAAAGAGAGAGAGAGTTGGAAAAGTAATGGTTTTTTTTTTTGCTAACCAAACATGATTGGGTTCTTTTCTATGATTTTGGGATATTGTGGATGGAAAGAGAGTTTTCTTTTTTTTAGTTTGTTTGCTTTCTCTCTTAATGGTTTTGCTTACTTCACTATGTCACCACATGCATGGAACTGGTGAAGATAAACTACGGTTTGTTTTTGTTTCTTTTTGTTTTTTTGGTTGAATGTCTTTCATTACAGTTGTTGTTATTCTTTGTATTCGTGTGATGGGGTGGTATTTCCCTTTATATAGATAGATAGATAGATATATATGGCCTCTGAGTATATGGATTATCTTCTCTCCTTTTCTCTCTCTCTCTCTCTCTCTATATATATATATATATATATATATATATATATATAGTACTTACATTCAATTATTCCATTACAGTGAAGTGAGTATAGTAGTAATAAGAACCAAAGTGAAAAAAAAAAAAGAATAGATAGGAAAATGATTTTCTTTGGACAACTTGTCTGTGCTGGTTGTCACAAGGTCCTCAGTTATCCATTAGGTGCCATTAGTTGTCGTTGTCGCAACTGCAATACAGTCAATGCCGCCCAAAATATGCAACTCAACTGCGGCTTCTGCAATCAATCCATTCTCGTCCCGCTCAACACGCTGCGGTTTCTCTGTCCCTGCTGTGCCACCGTGACGGACATTCCACAGTCCCTCCTTCCACGCGTGGAGGAGCCCGTCGACACCGGCGCCTGCGGGGAAAATGACGCCAACACCATTTACGTCACGTATCCCATCAAGCGAAGCGGTAAAAAGTCCAAGACTACAAAATCCTCAGAAACAACAACAACAACTACAACTACTACTACAATAATAGCAGCAAAAGGAGGAGGAAGAGGATCATTAGATGTGGTGGAAGAGGGAAAAGGGGGAGTTGTGGAGAATGTGTTATCGCGTCGATTACAACGGGAGGAGATGGAGGAAATGAGTAGACAAATGGAGGAAAGGAAACCAAAACAATCCAGTAAAAAAGAAGAAGAGGATGAAGAGATAGAAGAAGGGAAAGGAGGAAAAAGTGAGCGTGTGATATCAACAATGATGGTTGTTGGAACGCAGATATTATGATAGCGACTCCCTTTTCTTTTTTCTTTTCTTTTCTTTATTCTCGTTGATGTTGTTTTTGTTATTCCTCTGATGTCTCTCTTTCTCTTTCTCTTTATTACTGTAGTATACATACACAGAAATGAAGAGATGAAGAAATAAATAAAGAAGGAATTCAAATGAAAAAAAAAAAACCATGTTAATAACGCTACTTCCCCTCCACTACCTCCTCCTTTTTTTCCTTTCTCTCGCCTTTGTGTTTTCTCCACGTGTCATAATTAAAAAGAGAAATATATTTATTTATTTATTTATTTATTTATTTATATTACTGTCTTAAATTGTGACGAGGCACATTAAACTCCCCCACTCTGTTTGCATATTGCCCAATGCTTTGATGTCCCACTTTGATTATATTTATTTTCTCTTTTTTTTTCTTTTCTTTGCATTTCATGCGGTTTTTTACATGTTTATATATGCATATGTATAAATATATTTATATATTTATGTTTATACTGATAGATATATATATAATACTGTATTTGTGCGTACATTTGCCAAGTAAGCTGTGAGATTATGTGATTACTCCTATTCCTTTCATAGAGCAGCAAAACAGTAGAAGGGAAAGAAGAAAGTAAAATAATACCTTGTGTATTTTCTATCTATCTATCTATCT